TGATGCTTTTCATAGCTTAGTGGATTTACATATTATACATTTGTACTTAAATTCTTATTTCACTCATTATTATAAACCAATTATTCTTCACTCTTACATTAGATTTAAAACCGACAGGTTAATATCAAAATGTTTTCATTCTTATTTCGCCTTAAACCAATGAACAAGTGTATCTTTCAAAACAATTTGATTTAGTGTCTGCGAGAGTAATTAGCAGGCTGTGGTGTGGCAACTTAAGAGTTCAACAAAAATCCACAACAAAATTATCAAAAAATCAACTTCTTACACTTTTAATAAGCCCATCCTCACTCCTTTACTTAATAAATTAACGACCTGACCTCTATTTTGAAAATTGTCATAAAAGCTTTTTAAATTAAACGTTTTGTTCTCAGAAAGAATGAAAAGGTTAAAAAAGTTAAAAGTCTTCATTTAATGCGAAAAGCTTTGAAGCCTTGAAAGTGTTCCACACAATGGATTGTTACATGCGGAGGAGGTAAGTTTTCCATTTGACTATTCATCATACAAATACTTTGTTTAAGTGGAAACAATGTGCAATATTATTTGATTTTCCTGAATGAAAACTGAATGAATGCCGGAATGTGTGAATAATTCAAATTGAGATCTCTTGATACTCTACAGCTGCTTATGTAATGCAATTGTAATACTTCCCATAATTGTCATAAATGTTTGAGGACAAACGGGGAAAGGAAGAAGAGATAATGTGAATTCATAAATTTTCATGATAATATTTAAAACAAAGGACGAGCTTATTTATACAATTCCAGTAGGGACATGCAGCAATTTAATGAAAAAATAATTTCATGAATATTTCAATGACAAAATAAATAATTGAATGTAATTTTATCCAGCACGGAATTTATGTAATTTAACATTTTTATTCTAGGGTTGTCCACAATTGACGTCTTTTAAAAATAATTTTTTGTGATCAATTGTTTATCGCATGGAGTTTTACTCAGTTCCAGACACATTTAGAATCTAGTGAAATTTGGAAGTCATTTACGAAAAATCCCTTGTGCTAACCGTCAAAAAAATATTCACTGATTCAGAAAGGCAAGAAAATTCTTCGACATAAAATATTTCAAAATCTTTTCTTCTTAATTTATCGATGGAAAATCTTTGAAAATTATAAATTTTCCACCTAATAAGCTTAAAATTTCAAACTTTTCTTCCTCACACTAGGAAGTTTCGTTATAAGTTTTCTTACTGATTGAATGGAGCGATGAAAGACAGAAAATGCTTTTTAATCAGATAAAACTTTTCCTAGGTAATTGCGTTGACAACAAAAAATGAAAGGAAATAACCGAACAAAAAACTAATAACTTAATTTTTTTTCTCTATTCATTTCTTTATATGTCACAAATAATAGCTAAAACAGAAAAATCTACCACTATTGCATGCAACGATTTCATTTACTCTATTTTTTTTTAAAAAAAAATAAATATGTTATGTATTTGGTTGCACAGAACAACTCTTCCTCTCTTTTGTTCATTCAGGTTCATTCCAAGTGAACTAGTTTAGTTGATGAAATTGTTGGCAGATTGTCTAACAAGAAAAGCATCTGTCGCATAAAGATTGTGATTTGATACATTTTGTAAGTTTCAATAGTGAACAGAATTTATCTTAGAATTCAGCTATTGAATTTAAAGTTTGAAATAATAAACATAGCTAAAACTTTAGTTCGACTTCAACAGACTTTTATGCTTAACATTTATTACTTGAGTTTTGTTATTAGCTGTATTAAGATTTTATATTTTAAAGATTTGAACACAAAACTAGTTTTAATTTAAATTAAATGTAAGAATTTCTCAATCTGTTAAAACTGTTTAGAATGGCTTTTCCTTTGCAAACTAAAGAATTTGAATAAACAAATAAGTAATAATTCAATATTTTACGAAAGAATAGTTGTCAAAATGCGTAAAGAATCAGAATTGAACAATCGAGTTAGATTAACAATAACTTGAAATTTTGAAAACTTTAATGAAGATCAGAGAATATGTCAAAAATGTTTAAGATTATTCGAGCTGATTTACAACTGAACTTTGAATTAAATGCTGAAAATGATCTATCACTGAGTCTGGGTCAATCAAACATTTTAATTCTACCTATTCGAAATATTTATGCAAACTTTATTCTTGGATATTGATAAACAGCAACAAGAAACTGATAAAGGTAAAAGAGTTTCCTTACGTAACAATTATTGAGTAAATTGAATGTGTAAGCTTTGACCATACCAATAAACAAGGTTTGTCGACCGATGTTTTACACTTTACACATTCCTTTGTAATAATATTTACCTCTTAGTTTAATGAACTGTACGTACATTTTTTAATAACATTTCACACAAAATAAGAAATAAAGATTGAAAGTTCAATGAATAGTTCATAAAACTATTAAGCTTTAAAGCTTAAAACCTCTTAAAACCATAAAATTTTATCTCTATAATATTTCAAATAAACTCTTTTATAGAAAAATATAAAATTGCATTCCAAATACGCTTCACTCGACAACACACCATAGTTCCTTAACATGCTTTCTTTCATATACACAATACATAACAACACAACAGGAACCAAAACCCAAAAAAAAGCTTGCGGTGGTAAAATCAATAACTTTATGTACAACACAAAAAAGTAGAAATATAAAAAAGAGTAAGTGCTTTGTACTGTACAAAATAAATCTGTGCACAAAAGGCATCCTGTAATGATTATGATGTACACAATAAACAAGACACGAGCACTTCTCAATGAGATAAAGTTATAAAAAAAAATTTATAATCGTCACGTTATCTTCTCAAATGTCCTGTAACACATTTATTCAATCGTAAGGTTTATTCACGAGTTGATAACAGACAAGAGCTCTCCTATCCTCGACCCGACCATATGTAGAGATAGAGAAAAAATATATTACTATTATTTCCTGAATGTGAAAAATATATGTGCACACACATAGCATGAGAAAGGAGGAGAGGAAAATTCTATTATTCAAATAAAAAATCAATAAATGATGAGAAAAAGTTCAGCGTTGAGTTTTAACGCTTCTTTTCATAAATCACATTATTATCAACCTACCCCAAGTATCACAATTCTCTTTTCATAAGTCGTAGTTATGATATTGAAATTAATAGGAGTGAAATATGCAGCAAGAAAATTATATACTAGATTGCTTCTCAGAAATTTTCTTTCTTTTCAAATTCAATGGTATTTTATTATTGGTTGGCTGCATAGATACTGATTTAAAATTTCAAAACAGTGCACCTGAATGTTCTATTCAAATGTGATTCCATTACGACAATACAAACGTAGTCACCCTAATACTCAGCTATTAAGCTACATTTAATAATCAAATTCAATTCAAACGTGCTTGATTGATTCATAATTTGTTATCTATAATCTCTTATTCAATTCAGCATAGAAAGTCATATCTGATGATGACAATTATGATTTCATGAACATAATAAGCATGCTGAGATTCAGAAAAAAAGTCTTTATCAGGATTTGAATAGAATGTGAATTGTTTCAAATAAATCAGTCAGTCAACGTCCGTTGAGAGAATCATTTCTTTACAAGAATGCACACAGAATATTAATGAAAGAAGCATAAAAAAAATGTTGAATAATAGACACTTAATTACATAAAGCTTCTATTTCAAATCAAATTTCCATTTGTTTTTCCTTTTTCGTTCTCCGTGTTTTTGAGTAAAACGGCTATTGCTTTTTTTTCTCAATTTCATTTGTAATGCGCATTCATTTAATTTTTTTCACTTTCATTCTCTTCCCTCTTTCCAATTTTCTTTCCTCCGTTCTGTACTTTTGTTACCCAACAAGTGCGGATAGAAAGAACCTTTTTTTTTTCGTATTGGTTTTAAGGATTCTTGGGTTTTTCAAATAATTTTCAAATAACTTTTTTGACTACGTGATCAATGGATGTAACCAGGAAATGTGTTAAAATGACGTTGCTTAATTTTCATTTGTAGGCATTCGATTAAGGAATTCTTTTGACACAAAAATCCTTAAGGTTTACATTCTTTAGTAGATACTCGGGGTCCTCGATTTTAGTGGGTTTTTTGTTCCAGAAAAATCCTTTTCAAATCGAATCTACTCAAATCGAATTATTTATTTTTGTATGAAAAATGTCTGTTACAAAAAAAATTACATTTTCTATTCATTAAATTTCGTTACTCAAATCGAATCTATTCAAATCGAGGACCCATAGTATTGTCATTTATAAGTGGATCTTTTTTTGATTACAGAAGCTGTTCGCAGTAATTTATAACCTTAATGACGAAAAACTATTAAAAACTGGAATTTTTCAGTAAATTTCTAATACATTTTTTCGAGTTTTTGATTTTAAGAGTTTCTTTGAATGCAAACTATGTATCGCGACACACTAGTGTCGCCAACCAAACAAGTTTAGAAGACACTGCTTTAGATTTTCTCTAGATCTTAAATTTTACTTCATCCCTGTTTATTTATTTTTTGGTGGAGTTTGGGATTTCGAGCTTTATGTGGAATAATCTACGAGAATAAAGTCACTGATAGAGTGATTAAGGTACAGCCCTATAATCTAAAACCTCAATGTTAATAAGAACTTTTTCTTTGATATCAGATATATATTATTCAGAAAATTATAACGATAGTTCCAAGTTACCTAACATCAGATACAATGAGTATCTTAAGTATAAATTTGTAAACTTCAACAACGCATTTAAACACCTTTGTAACTTTTTTTAAAAATAATCTATAAGACTTAATTCTTAAGATAGTAAAATAACATTTTCCAATACTATCTGCAGCCCAATGGTCCTCATTTTATATTATTATTATTTTTTTTCGGTAAGTGTGAAGCACAACAAACCATAAAATGAGAAGGGCATCGTATAATGAAAAAACGAAATGAAGATAAAAATCAATTGAATGAGCATGATAATTTTTATTAAGCACTACCGAAGCCATGACAAGAATAAAGATTACATAAACTTACTGAGTTGTATAGTATCGGTTATATATTCCCTCGCTTAGCGAAAAATATAAAATTATTGGGCTTGAAAGAATCTCTTCAATTGATGAGTATTCACTGCCGTGACTTTATTGTCGTCGTCGTTGGATAGGTTGGTTGGTATATCCTTTATTTATTAGATGATGTAGAAAAAAATTCCTCACTTGTAATAATGGAATCATAAATTTAAGCACCACATTTTTATTTCACTTTCTTTTATGAATTCACTTATTTTTTGTGTACGAAGGTATGACAATTTAGGGCTACACCAAGCAAATTAACTCCAATTTTTCTTCCTTTATATTTTTAAATAAAGCTCCCGCGCGATATTTCCTCCTTGTATTGAGTGAGGAAGCACACAAGAAGAAAAAAATAGAAGCTGTACACTTGGAATCAGGAGAAAAAAAAAATCAATTTACGGACGGTGTAATGATGAAGAAAAGAAAGTTTATATGCTGGGATTAAAAATCAATTTATCACTAAAAAATGTCGCGGCAAAATTAAAAATAAAAACTGTAGAGGAAAGCACACAGACGCACACACACACACTCACTGAGTCTTGACTATAAAAATGATATTGTATGATGATTATTATCCTGACTATATAATTTTTTTTTTGTGCTTTTGTTTTGTTCTTATTTATTCCTCTATATGTGAAAATTGCTAAAGACAAGAGTTCAAAAAACACGTTTTACGTCTACGATCGACGCCCACACAGTGAGGAGATGTTAGCATAATTTTTTCCTACCGTCACAAAAAAAGTTTTATGCTCTCGCCTTGGAAAAAGGCATCATCGTCGTAAATGATATTTTTTTTTTCAATCGTAGTAAAACGTAAAAACAAACGGTTTGGTGTTGTGTGCGAGTGAACGAGATGATACGAATGATTTGATTCCTTTCTAGCAGGCAGGCAAAGCGAAGCTTTACACACAGACGAAAGCTTTTAGACGTCTGGTACCGAAGAGAATTGAGAGAGGAGAGCGAGGTGCTCACAACCGACGACGAATAACATAAAAATTATGTATGTGAGAGAATTTTGGTTTGTGCATTGAAATGAGGGAGAAAAGTAGGAAAGGGAGGATAAATTTGTTGGTCCATAACTTAGAGGAAGGAAAAATGAAGAGACAAAGAAAATAGAATAAGTGAATATTTTAACGTGTTGCAAGTAAAAGAAGGAAAAAGGGAAAAAAAATTCTTTCTTTTTGGTTTAAGCTTTTTCGGAACTTTATATGAAATTCCTTCTTCTTTTTCTTCCTGTTTTGTGATGTTACCTTTGCATTAACTCTTTTGTTTTCATTTCTTTGGGTTATTACCCGTCAAGATACTGTTTAAATGTTGCTGATTCTCTTGTCTGGATTTTTAATTCCTTAAATAAGGTTTGTTTGTTTTACTAATCGAATAGATTAGCATGCAAACATAAATGTTGCCCAACAACAGGAACTATTAACGTTAAATATAATAGAAATGTGAATTTCTAAGGATTTCATTCTAGAAAGCAAAATTTGAGCTTAAGTCTTTCTAGTTTTAATGTTTAAAAACATTTTCAATTGCAAATAACATTTTAAATTGATGACTTTTGTTTGTTTAAACCTCAATTCTCTTCTCCTAATAACCTTAACTTAATAAATGAATAAACCCAGCTAAAAACCAAAACTAAAGCATAAATGCAAGCAAATACTACCAAAAAATAATTCTGTTCACTCTTCCGCTGTAAGTAAAGAAGTAATTGTTGCAGCAAACGGAAAATTACAATGTATTCGTTTCTATCGTAAGGAGGAAAATTGGATTATTCAGATGGAAAGAGAATAAATAAGAATTTTATCGATACCACATTTTCTTGCTCGAAAGCATAATTCCTTCTTTTTTCTTTTCTTTCTATTCCTCAATGTGGTTTTTCTGGGGTTCTTCTAATGGAGCGATAAAGCCCTAAAAAGTTTGTTTTCTTGCCCTTCACAGGAAATTTCTCCTCTCGTTGCTCTTAAAAATCATATTTACATTACACTTTATTTTCCTTTTCGTTTTTTTTTTTGGTCAGACAGGAACGAATTGAGAAAGAAAAACTTTTGCCTCAGCTAAGCTTCTAATTCTTTACTGCTCGTAAATAATGGAAGTCTTCCTTGAAAAAGTCTTTAGATTTTCATAGATGACAGAACAACAGCTTTTAATACAAATTATTTCTTATGTTTCAAAGTTTTTTGTTTTTTTTTGTCATGCTCGAAAAATCTCTAGGATTCTTCATGAAACTTGACGATGAGATGCTTGACTTCTGATTAAACTTCCTGTTTTGCAAAAATAAGATGCTTGGAGATACAAACTCTTGTCTAAATGGTAATTCTTTTCAAAGGAAATCTTCATAATGACTTCATTTAAAGTTCAATGACATTTTTAATTATGTGCAATTATTTATTTAATTATCACAGCTCGCATGAGCACGTGAAAGGCAAAATCGTATAATTATTTTAACGGGTTTTTAAAATTTGAATTGAAGTCGTATAATTTATGTCTTGTTAATTTTTGTGAAATTTAAATAATGTCACTTAATTATATATGTACAAATCATCTCAATTACTATATTTATATAACCAGAAATTGCTTAAATCAAGTAAAAATAAACTAAATTGATCCACAGTAAGTGATGTCGAATGGTTTCCAAAAAAAATACTGAATTTTAGACGATTTTGAATAACAACAAATAAACACTCGAGGAAAAAGTGAAAACTCAGTGAAAATTAATTAATAAATCATCTGTGCTTTGTAAGTTGTAGCTTATTTTAATCATTAGTGTCAATGTTATTTAAATTATATGTCAAACAATAGTGAAATGCTGATTTTATAATCTAATTTGCTAGCCGGAAGAGAAAAATTAAAATATCAGGAATGGAAAACGCAACAAGCTTCGATAAAATCATCAATTCTACACAAAATATTGTTCCAAAAAGATTATCATTTGATTTTCTTAGCAATACATCGGATCTTCATTCGGTAAAAAAGCGTAAGTACAACGATATGGAACAGCCAGAAAGTCAACGCAAAAATGATGCAAATGAGTCATTAAACGATTCATTTAATACAAGTTCATCATCGATTTGTGCATCTTGGGAAACTAAGCTTTTAAGGAGTGATCTGATAGAAGCACAGTCTAGGGTAAAACATCCAGAAAATCTTCATTTATCATATAATTAATATTTCCATTTTTTTCTAGATATCACAGCTTAAGAAGGAAATCCAGCATCAATCAACAATTCAAACGGAACTAGAGTTGAAATTTTCAGCAAAAGAGAAGGCACTTGAAAGTGAGAGAAATCAATATAAGAATAAAGCCACAGAGTACGAGAAAATATTGAAAAAGAATCGTAAGAATGAGAATCAAATGAAAGAGGAACTGGTCAAATTTAGGAATCAATTGACTATTCAGAAGCAAAACTTTGATTCACAGATGTTTAATTTGCAAAATGAAAATGAGAGTTTAAAGGAAAATGCCACTTATATTAAGAATGACTTGAATAATCGAATAAGTGAATTAACGCGTGAAAATACGGAAATAACTTCTCATATAACAACAGTCGAGGACGAACTCGCATCTGTTAAAACGTTAAATAAAGACTTGAAACAAAAACTTGAAGAGTACAAGTCACTCAAGACAGAACTAGAGCAGGAAAAAATTAAGCATCAAAATGTTGTCCTCAAAGTAAAGGAATTAGAGTATGAAGTGAACAGCTATGGAGATTGGAAGAATGTTGAAAAGGCATCACATTCAAGAATGACTTCAATGTCTGAAATGGAAAAGGATGTTGGCAGATTAAGGCAAACAAACAGAAATTTACATGATTCAATTGGAAATAAGATGTTGCTTGAAGAACAAGTTCATAGTCTTCAGACACAATTAGATCGTTATGAAAAGGCAAATGTTGAGTTGATTACTGCCAAGACACAGTTTGAATCGCTTGAAAGAGAATTGAAAGATTGGAAACAATTAGGAACTGACTTCGTACAGAAAGGCGCAGCTAATAATCCAATTAATGTTCGTTCTTATATTGAACAGCTCCTTCATCGTGACTTGTTACTAGTAAGTGAAAAGTCAAATGTTTCGTCTGAAAAATCGACTGTTCAAAATCAATTATCTGAATTGAAGAATGTAAGTAAATTACAGCTACAAATAAGATTATGATTAATGATCACTAATTTATTTATTAATTTAATTCATTTCAGCAAAATGAAACACTTGCAAAGCAGATTGAAGGCTTGGAGAAATCTCTAAAAACTCATCAAGTTGTCATAGTAAGGATGCAAAAGAAGATGAAATTAGTACAATCTGAACGAGATGCTCAACGTCAATTACTTGATAGTTACGAAAAAGATCTGACGGTATCGCAAGGATTACAATCAAATAGTTCACAAGAGACTCAATATCGTTTGAGGATTGAAATGCTAACGAATTCACTCAGTGGATATAAGGAACTATGTTCAAAGCTCGAAGCAGAAGTGGCTGAATTACGTGGAAATCCAGTAAATACTTTAGATCCATCAATGTGTTCAAGTGAACAATATAAGATTTTACGAAAGGATCTTGAAGCACTTCGTGTAGAAAATGAAAAGTTGAGAAAGAGAAAATGCGAATTGGAGATTGAAATTGAGAACATAACGTTGCGTAGTAATGTCATGAGCGATGAGAGATTGAAGGTTGTACATTTTAAAAATAATCCAGCAGCACTTGCACAAGAGCAGATTGCAAATGAAGTATCAAAGTTAAAAGCTGAAATTGAGCGGCTTAAAATTCGTAACAAGAAATTAGAGGAAGGAAATGAGGACTTGACAACTCGTTCGGTTGATACAGTCAACATGACGATGAATATAAAGGATATGCAAAAGTTGAAAGAGGAACACAAGACACTCCAAGCTAAATATAAGGAAAATGAGCAAGTTTTTACGAGAATAAATCAGGAACTACGAGAAGTAATTTATATGCTCTTTGGATATAAGCTAGATCGTTATGGCAACAGTAATTACAGGTAAGTTATAATTAGCACATTATATATTCTATTCTCAATACTCATTTTCTATGTCCTCATAAAGGATTACGAGTATGTATGCAGATTGTGAACAAGACGAGCTATTATTCCAGCTAAATGAAGTTGGCACTTTAGATATGCTCGAGAGTGATTACAGTAAAACATTGACTAACTTTATGCAACAATATTTGCATGGGTCAAATGGATCATTGCCAGCATTTACGTCTGCTTTAACACTAGATTTGGTTAATCGAATGACGGTGACAAGTGTGGTATAAATCACTAGTTTTAGTTCCCAAAATAATAAATAATTCCACGAAATTTGTCCATTTTTACAGTTTCTAATAAATTTATGGATATACTTACTCCATTTTTGCAAAATAAATTTACTTCCTTTAACCACCTTTTTACTATAAATATTATAATTCAGATAAATATAATTTTTTAATTCTAATTTACACAACAAGATTAGATTATTTCTTTTAACTGTCGCGTATTTCTGAGCAAATCATCAATGAGTGACTAAAGGGAATAAAAAGTCGCTCTACTATGTGATACATGAACAGTAAGAGAGAGAAATAATATATTTTTAAGTGCATTATCCAATGAACGATGTGTCAATTGCTTCATTTTGTACGTCTCTAAGCACTTTGAAGATTAACTGGATTATCTGTAATTTGGCATCGTGCAGCAAAAAAAACACGGAATTTTGTTACCAAAGTTCTTTTTACTTAACTGAGAATAATTTGGTAATTCTTTGAAGTAGATTAATTAATTTATTTTATCAGCTGAAACTGTTGCTGTGGTGGGAAATATTTTGAATTCCATTGTTAGAGGAATAACTTGTTTTGTTTGAGCTTTATTGTTTTTTAGCCTTTGTTTCTGATCAGCAACTAGATTTAAAAATTAATTCTTTGGAGGTAAGTCACAAATCAGTAGAAAGTCATCAACAAAATAAGTCTAACAGCAATCTTATGGGGAAATCTTTAAATGATTTGCATGCTTTGTCCTCGATTAGGGGTGATTCACTTATTACGTAACGTAATTACGATATGTTGTCCCTGTTGCGTAAAATGTGAAAGATAGATGCATATTATGATGCTTATTACACCAAATAAGTGCAGTAGACAATGATTCAACCTTCTGGAGATAACATTTATCAAAATCAATCAGCAAACACCATGAATAATGCGCAATAATCCTTTCCATTTGAGTACGATAGCAATTTAACTCATTTTTAGAATATCACTATACAACAACATAAGCCGTAAATTAGATTCAAGCGATTCAAGTGTCTTATCATCAGCAGCGCAATTTGATTTAAATGTGTTTTCAATTTTGAGGAAGCATGTATGTAGGATAAAAAGAAACAACTCTCTTTTATTTTTTGCTTACAATTTTAAAATTTTTTATTTAAAGATTTCTTTTTTTTTAAATTTTCTATAAAAGCAATTATCGAAAAAAAAAGTTTCATTAAAGATAACAAAAGGGATACAAACGTAACTATTGTAGGTATTTTGGGAGAAAAATTTATAGTTTTAGTGATTTTCAAAACTTTCAATATTAATTAATAATTTTCTTTAAATGTGATATTTTCACTTCCTTTGAGATAAATTTTTTTCCTATTATTAATTATTCTGAAAAGTTTACTGATGAGAATGAAAACTTAATTAAGAATATTCATTTGCTGGACCTTATATCTGTATGAAATGAAAAAATAAAAGATTTTTCTTATTAATTTTTCTCTCAAAAAATATAAACCTATCTAAAATTGAGGAGATATATTTATGTTTGTTCGGGAAGAAGCCTCAAGTTTGAGCCAAAAGTCTTAATTAAGTTTTTGTTTTCATTTTTTTCTATTATTTTCTAAACATAAGAATAACATTTCTAACAAACTAAAGTCATCAACTTCCACGCATTTTATCTGAGTTAATTTGCTTCATTAAGCATATTTTAAGACTTACTGGAAACACGTTCAGCCATATTAGCAAAATTACATTCTATAGTTCAAAATTCGACATTTCTGTTCATATGAACATATTTAAACGATTGCAGCCTTGGACATCTGACTAGCTCTCGTTAAATATGTTTTTATCATTCGAGCGTCTATGAAGTTTTGAATGTAAACTGCTGATAAAGCGAACTGTATTATTTTGCTGCAGCTTATACGATTTACAGCAGAATAATTATTTTGTTATCAGCTGGTCTCTGTTGGACATTCGAATATCGTCAACTTACAATATGATATATAATTTTGGTTCATTTTAATGGCTTTCAGATTGCATTGACCAACATGCTTGAAATTCAGTCAACAAATAATTTTCTAAAATATTTCTCTGCTTTTTTTTACAATTACTGGATACGATTCGTGTCTTGTTTATTAAAAGATTGTAATCATACCTTAATTGACAATAAATAGACTAAAGGGAGAAATTCTATAGCATAATATGTCCATAATCAGCTAATTTGCAAATTTAAGCATCAAATCTCTGTCAAAATACTAAATTATTGATCCTTTGCGACCCTTTTCATCCTTTGCTGTGTTTGTTGACGAGTCAAAAAGTCACCGCAACGGTACATCTTAGAGTAATAAAAGTTTATTTTATAGCAATTTATTCCTAAGTCCACCTTTTGTCACTTAAAACAGATTACTTTCGAGTCAAATGACTTTAATGGAACGCGTGGAAGTTTATAACTATTAATAAGGTACATTCATAATTGATTTAGTTAAATTTTGTTGCTTAAAATTTTCAGTAACATTTTAAAGTTTTAAAAATGACTTAGATTTAAAGGTTGCATGATTTCTCTTGAGAATAGCTTATTGTGTGTTTTTTTCGACATCCAAAATCTCTTGTTTTCCTATGGTTTAGGAAAGAGATGCACTCTGCATGATATTATAGAAAAAAATTTCAATTATTTTCTTAAAAGACACAGCAACGAGTTGTTTCCCAAGAGAAATCATACTTCAAACAATATCGAATTATATTCCAAACTATCAACGAATTAATTAGATAAGAATCGATCAAAAATAAGATTTAACATGATTATTTGACAACGTATTGAATTTTTTTAACATAACATGCAGAATACAAAAATGATTGAAGCAAATATGCCAAGCTATCGATGGAGTTTTAATATATTAAAATGTAACATTTCTGATTTTTTTTTCTCGTAATACTGCAGATATGCTCGATTGAACTTCCTGTTATTAATTTTTCTTCAAGTACATTGATTTGTGATTCTTTTTTCATTCGTGTAACAGTTAAAACATTAAAAATTTTCATCATTTTTGTGAGTTTTTCTTTTCTGAAGTGGTAGACATAAATTTTCAAGTAACAGTTTATAAGAATGACGTTTTAGTTTCGTTCTTAATCTAAATTTTTATTCCTTTTGTGGGCAAATCACCTCAATATTTTTTTTTTGATATATTCAAAAAGGTTAGTGATTTATACGCTTTAGAAGTAATTAATAATTTTCTACAAAAACCAAAACCTACCTTAAGGGACTAAATTTCCCTTTTACATGAATCGAGATAAATTTCCTTTTTACTTCTGTTATCATGAATAAATAATTCTTTTGATGAAGGTCACATTTATATGTGCTTGTTGTGTAAAAAGACATTTTCTCTCATTTAATCATTGACAAGTTTGTTCATTTTGTTAATCGACACAAATTTCATTTCGGATGTATCGATTTTTGTCAAGGTGCGAAGATTCTGCAGAAAGGTTGAGTGCTAATTGACAGAATCACATTGAATTTTGAGCTCTGATTGGGTTTGCTTGCTAATAATTAAATTAAGGTTCTTGTCTCTTTGAAATCTTAAATTGAATTACAAATGTCAAAAATATAATCAAAACTGGTTTAAAACTATGAACATTCTAGTTTCAAAAATTAAAATCTTTAAAAATTCAAACAAAAAAACTCTTCAAATCTCTCAAAATCTTCGCATTTTGTGCTTCACACACCATCCTTGTCCATTAAAAAATTTATCATGTTTCTGATTGGGGTTTGAAATTTCCCATTTTTGTATTTTTTGATCCTCATTCATATTAAATATTTAACACAAACAAGTAAATTAGAAAATTCTTCACAATCTTAATCGTTCCTTAATCTTGATGCAAGCAAGCCTTTCCATAAAATTTTATCATCATTCTTAATAATTTATATGTTCCGAGAAAATATAACGAATATAATGTGATTATGAATTTTGGCGCAAAACTAATTAATTTATGCATGAACTTACTCAAATCTTAATTAGATGTTTCAAAATTAACTCTTCTCATTCTCATTCATGCCTCATTTAATTAGCGCCTTAGTTATCCAATTGCATTATGATAAATTGAGATGAACCATTAATATACTTACTTACTTCTGATCAATAGCACCTGAATCATTAAATAATTTGATTCCCTAGAAATGTTTTTTTTTTTCATTTCATCTTAATCTAAGATATACGCAAATGCATTGCAATGACTATTATTTTGTCCCTAATATGTGCTCCATTTTTTTACGTATGCGATGAATTTCTCTTCTATAAATCCTACGTCTCATCATACCCAAAGGATACATTCTCTATATCTTGATAGTATGATGCTTGATATCGTTGGTACTTTTATTATTATTTTTTGTCGTTATCGTAGTCATGACTACATTTTAAAAGCATTTTGTCATGGAAAATGTTCTGCTACCTGACTTTATGATTGTGATCCACAAAAGTCTTTTAAAATTGTATAAATTGCAATTAACACTCGGTTCGTTAGATTTGGATTTAGATTTAATTGAGGACATTGTAGATATGTCTGTGTCTGCTGTTGTTAGGATTTGAGAATCAAATTTAGGCATTGCAAACTAGTCAACTTTGCCAACTTGATCTTCATTGAAAATAAGTTGTTGACATTACTTCTGACTACATTTTAACATTGTAAATTAAATCAATCATGTGAGTCATATCTGTGTCTATTGAATTGGATATGAAATCCATCTAATCAGCAACGAACTTGACGACTAAATTATTAAAAGAGTTTAAAGCACTTTCGAGTCTGTTGCTTAGCGAAAATTTCAAATGGAATGTCCTCATTGAGTAGTCATAGAAGCAGAACATTCACAAAAGAGAAATCCATCTCATATTCAATTGTTTTAAATCTATTCATTAATCCTATATATTTTCAACTACAATACTTCAATTACAACGATTTTGAAAATTTTCATATCATTCTTATTTCTTTGTTCATTCTTATTTGATTTGAGTCGAGTATGTGCTTATGTACGTTTTGTTTGGTGTATGAAAGAATTAAAGTGCTGTAAAATTTGATGAAGGAAAATTCGGAGGGAAATTTTAGATTCTCAAGTATTTGACATTAAATTAATTTTTTTTTTCGTTAAATTTTCTCGTTTTTCATTTGTCATTCACGATCATAATATCAGTCAATCAATCAATCAATCAATATATATTAGATATATTTAAATATAGATCTATGCACGAGAAGAATTTCATTTTTATTCATCCTCATTTAAAAGTTTGAGAAGAAAAAATGTAAAGTGAAGATTTTGTACACAAATTGATTTATTTTATCTTATTTCATTCATCTTTTTGTGCTATACGTGTTCACATCTATTTGAACATAATAATCATGAGATAAAGTAATTGAATTTTCAGATAAAATTTCACCTATACAATTTACGCTCATATAATTCAGTCGAAAAATGTCTTTATTTCATCGAAACTTGTTCTCATTTAATCTTTTTTTTCGCTTTTCAGGATTTATTTTATAATTTTGTATCCTACTAATCCCTTAAAAATTGTTTAAATACTTCATTATCTATTCATAGTTTTTTTCATGTACTTTTTTGTTTTCCTTTTTTTAGAAAAATTATTTTCAATTCTTTTCTTTCGTCTTTATTTGAGAGATGCAAACAAAGAATAATATAAAATAAAATATGAAAAAATCGAGGCTTATCTGCTATTCTTTTAAATAATGGACAATACTTTTGTGAAGCTTCATGTATAATGATTAATGTTGACAATGATTTGCTAATTTTAATGGAAGAGGAGTCTTAACGACTTAATTAACTATGAATCAAGCAAAACTTTAATCTTGCTCAATATTAGAATCTTCCGGATTCGGACAAGTTAAACTTTTTAACACTTACATATGAACAAATAGCCTTTCTCTAGTTTATTTAACTTAAAGTTGCGCTGTTAAATTTTTGATCTCAATACAAACATAAAATTAAAAGAATCGAACTTATCTCATTAAGATATCTTGGAATTGTAAAGGTTTAGTCAAATTTCTATCTGAAACTTTCGGTTATCTGATTAAAACTTACAAGCTTTTATCTAAACTTCAATAAATTTGATAAACTTTGTTCACAAATAAACAAATACTATTGATTTGGAAAAACTAAGCTATAACAAGTGCGATTCTGGAATTTCTTAAAAAAAAATCACTTAAAAAAATCAGTCAAGTTTTTTGCATACTTTCGTGTATTTATATCTCACACGCGAAATCCCCTACACACATTCATTCCACGTGTAGCATTTTCCATATTTTTTGACATTCAATAAAAATAAAAAAAATATTCTCAGAAAATTACGCAACATATTTTTTTTGGCAACTTTTATCTTTTTATCAATGTTCAGAATTTTTGTCAGCTACTATATATTCTCATTGTCTATGCTTATTCAAACGTCAATTCTCAATTTACATGAAGCTCCACAAAAAAATTGTATATTTGATATAAATTTATGATTCTATTATCTTACTTCTTGTATTTTTTTATTCAATGGTGACAATCGTACTGTGAAATGAAATGGATATGATTGATGATCATGATGATAATTGACAATGGGTAAGCATTGTTGGATGATAAACGGTTACACTGTTGGCCTTTTTTTTTGCACTGCTTATACAAATTTTCGTTTTTACGCTTTGCTAACTTTACGCGAATAAAAATGAAAGATTTTTTTACTATTTTACGTCATTTATCGTAGATATGAAGCAAAGACGTAATGGTTAAGAATATGAAAACATTCTTCTTAAAAAGGAAAGAAATGTCGATTTCAAGCTTGTTGAATGGAATTTAAAAATTGTGGATCAACTGATGCGACTTTTGCTGTAAGGAAAGCATGCATGCAAAATAACAGACTTTGAAGAACTTGGCATTCAAGCTCCTATAATGAATGAGAAGAGAGAAAAGAGAAATAAATTAAGTATAAAAAATTACCGAAATATAAAATATAAATGCAAACTAATTCAAGTTCTTCAAAAATATATAGCAAGAGATTAAAAATGAAAACAAAAATGATGGCTGAGTCACTCACTTTTGTCTCAATCGATCGAGTTTCTTGATCTTGAAAATGTAATTTTAATTTTGATTTTCCATCGTCGCTACTTCCGCGTAATTGAGAAAATTTGTATTGCCAGCTGACAGCATTTGGTTCCGTTCCACTTTCGTGTAATGAAAATCCTGCTTGCCAATCTAATGTTAATCCACCGGAACGACCTTGATACGATACCGCAAATGTCTTTTGCTATAACATGGGTGAATTAGGAGGATATAGGAACGAGAAGGAAATGAGAAATGAAAAGGAAATGTCGTTTAAATGTAAAAAAAAAAGTAATTCTTTAACATACGCCGAGTTTAATGACACTCGTCACAATCGCTGCATTCCAACTGTTTTCAATACGTAAAAGCTCTTGTCGTGTTTCAACACTCAAGTACCTGTTATTTATGCATGCACAAAAGAGAGGGGAAACGAAAATGAACAGTTTTATATCAGTTTTCGTAATTAAATTGAATAGGGTGAAACAACCACAATAAAAATGAAATATATACCTTGGGTCGTGACCGGACGACTGAAGTAAGAAGCAATGTTGACGTGAATCTACCGTCTCAGATTCCTTCACAACTCGAAACCTAAACATCGTTTATGATTCATTAAAATTTATTTAATGTCATGTCATGGGGCAAATCTTTGACATTAACGGTTTTTATTTGAATTTGAAAGTTTCAGAACCGTTAAATTTTACTTGCTTTTAATTTGGGGAGTGTTTACAAATGATGTCTATTAGAATTTGGATTTTTAGGTATCCATCAGAGATGCTTTGGCGTGGATCAAAACCTCTCAGCATAACCGTCTGTTTTAATTGTCAAAAATAGCTAGCTCTATCCAAAGTTTTAATAGACACCATTCGTGAACCACCCGATCTACTTACATTGTTTGATAGACTTTATATGCCACATTCGGTTTATTTAGTCCCGAAATATTCAATGGTGGATTATCGAACAGCAAGACTTCAGTTCCTTTCAAAACCAGAAATCGTGGTATGTAAGTTTGCCATGAGATTTGGCTCTTCAATACGCCTTCATTCACCCATCCCATATACTCTATCCTCTCGCCAACAGGAAAGTTTCGATTATACAATTTCATCTGTATAGAGGAAGTAAAGTAGCCTTTAGTAAGTCAATATTGATAATTTTGCAAGTAAATATTTGACCTGTAAATTGGTTAAGCCTGTAATATTATCGGTAATGTATTTCAGCCATGAACTGAGAATTGCTAAATCATCTAGATGTATTACACCAGTTGTTGTTCCATTCAATCCACGCACTTCAAATGCATTCGTTCTGAGCTTATCGGTTCCGTAAATATATCGTGTTACATAAGCCATCATTAAAGGAACACAAACGATATCGGTCCAACGAATTTCAGGCTCGGAACAGAGAGAATTTGGACGATGATTCGAATTATTATTCATACTTCCATTACTATTGTTCATTAGAGGATTTCCACTAAAGGAATTACTACTACTATTATTATTATTGTTGTTATTATTTTGAGCTAAACGCCATCCTTCATCTGCCTTCAATTCCGCACATGTTGCATCATTATCTGATTCAGGTGTATCGCGTGATACTGCATAAAAGACATGATAATAGTCATAAAAATCAAGACAAATAACGATAAAGATTTTGATTGAGGAAGGCGGTAGCTAGATGGCTCAAGGGCGATTCCATGAGTGAATTTTTTTTTCTCAACTCAATTTTTTGTAAATATTTCCTTAATTAACTTCATTTAACGCCATATTTAAGATTTATTTTATTTATTATTATGGTATTTATGTATTTTAGTGCATAATCTTTTAATTAAATCTGTCTGACAAAAGATATTTTAAAAAAACCAAACTTAATCGGTCAACTTTACAAAAAATTGATTTTTAAATTTTTATCAATATTTCTTTGAATATCCATTGTTGTGTTACAAATCTATGATAAACACACGTGAAATCGCCTGTGCTTTATAACAATATCTTATTTGTATGTCTTACTACTGTAATTAAGGAGAAAATTGGGGAAAACACCACTTAATCGGTCAACTTTCAACCGATTATTGCAAAACATATTACATATTTTTGTCAAAATGCAGCATAATTAAGACGATTAAATGCTAATAACACATGAATTGATGAATAATAAGTCTTATTTAGTGAAAAGATATGTTGAAATATGTATATTTAAGCAGAAAAAGCTAAAAAAGTTTTTGAACAAAAAATTTTCAGTTCCATTTACCCATGGAATCGCCCTCAAGAAGTGTGTATGCTTATTTTTATTTATATTTTCATCGTCAAAATTGTATATGAAAAATTGATTGTTGATTGAAACTTGTTGATTTTTCCACCCTAGACATGATTATGATGTATATAAACAATAAAGAATTTATTTTATACTTTTTTTCGTGCCCTCGAAACATTATATTATATAAAGTGCTAGAAATTTCTTTATTTCAAGGCATAGCCACTTGGGAATCTTTCAGTCAGTTTAAATCAATGATTTTTTTCAGCAAATGTCTGAGGGAAGCCTTAGAAAGTGCGACTTGGATTAGGATATGACCTAGTGTAGGTCGTACCTTAATAAAGCCTTAGTGAAATCTTTCTGTAAGATGTTTTGATGGTGCAATTGATTCATGACGGTATTATTCACATATTCAACTTATATGGCTGAATTAATACAAGACGATATATTATCCTTAGTATCCACACCTTGCTTCCCATGAATTGATTTTGATTGCGTTAAGAAATTTTTGACTGTTGAAAAAATTGATGAAGCACTTCAAGTGGCAAATTTATCCATCACCAGCAGTAAAAATTGGATTAATTAATATCAAGTATGTCTACATTCTGAGTTTGTTTATGTCATTGACATCTGCTATTAATCTTACTTTTTCAGGACACAAATTAAGCAATTCTCGAGAAGCTTCTTGAACAAACAGTGGTAATAACTGCGCTAAATTAAGACCGATCTGAATTACCTGACAATGATCGATAATTTATACTTACATTGTTTCTGTAGGAAAGGCGTAGCTGCACGATAATGCTTGACTGTTAGAACGACTATATCGCCCGCATTTCGTAAGATATTCACAGCATCATCATGATTACAGGCGGTTATGTATTCACCATTAACTTTTATTATTGCATCACCTACAAACAATTGTCCTGTTCTATCGGCTGCATGATCCTTATAAATGCGTGAGATTAGAATTGGAAGTTTATGTTCGGAGCCTCCTTTTATGCTCAATCCGAGTCCACCTTCTTTTTGTCTCGTTATTTGAACCATTCGCTCTTTCGATTCTAATGGTGGCTGACTAAGTTGATTACTCAGCAATGCTGCTGTCGGTGATATTGCTTGAACTTGCTCTGGTCGTTGAAGTGTAATGACTTCCATTGTGAGATGTAGTCGTGCAAGTTCTGGTTTACTTTTTCCATCACTTACCATAACCATTCCGGTACGTACCTGTAAAAAAGCGTCCTTTGTTCGTGTATGAACGGAAATTATTGTCAAAATATTATTTATGGGCTCTTAATAACAAAATTTTTACACTACATGGATCTGCTTAAAGCTATTAGTAGATTTTTGCAAACTCACTTTTAAATTTTGATCCATTTTCTCTTCGATTGGGGTTGCCATCTTTATGTCGTCTATCTTCATTCTATCTGCAAGGAAAGAATAAATAATGACCATAAACAAAAGAAATGAAAAATGTTGGATCATCAAAAAAATTAGAAATCGGTTTGGTAGACAATGAAAATGTTTTTTTGTCTGTCTGTTGAATGAATAAATGAAGAATCAAAAGAATGGAAAATTTTTTATGCTGTAAAAGTTCCTTTCTCATCCTCCTCTTGTTCTTATTACTATTATGAAAAATAAAGAACTTCCCGATCCTTTTTTTTTCGCTTCAATGAATTAAAGATTTCGTTCTCTTTTGTGTACGTGTAAATGAAAAATGCCTAGATACATAAAGAATCGTACAACTGTAAATGTATTCAAGCATCATCATTTATGTTTATAAAAGCACTAAAATAAAGTTTTTTTTTTCCACCCAAACGCATCAGCATACACTTTATAATAGGCACAATGTTCACAAAGGCAATTGAAAAATATGAATAAAGTCTAGAGTGAAGTGTCGCTATCAGCGAATGGCTGGAAAACATATTACTACCGGCAATAAGAGCTGAGTAAGTTTTATAGTTCATGCAAATACCTAAGAGAATAGCAAATGTGAATAGTTTTGTATTTGCAAGTTTTTGCCTGAAGACTGTTGAGTTTCAAGTTTTATGTTCTGTTTTGAACAACTATAGCTTGAGGATTATGCATTTAATAACTATAAATTGTTATATTTAGAAGAATAAACAAAGAAATCTTCACTGGTTCTTTCGAATCTTGTTTACATCCCAAACTGCCCATCAAAACTTCAACTTTCTACTAAAACAAGCATCGAATGGACTCACATCCCTTCCTCTCTCTCTTTAGTATGCAGGATTGCTTATTGCAATACTACATTTATATGAATGTGTCACATATCTACAATTTTATTCTTTATTATGTATTCTCGCCCCATGCTCCTCGTACTCTATCTCATTTTTCCTATGAGCATTCAAAGAATTAAGTGGAAATAAAGCTGATATGCAAGTAAGTGACTTTTTTTCTCTCTCCTCATTTGCATCTGTATGTGCATTTGTTTTATCTGAATGTGACTTTTTTTCCTGCTTGCTTCGTGTTCATTATTTGTTCTCCTTTAAAACAAAAGAATGAATATGAAGATCTTAAAGATACATAGATGTTATTCAGCAAACATCATCCTTTATAATTACAGCAAGTTCTAGTGTGGAATATGCTAATAGTGTCCTTTTGTCTTCCATGTTTCATGCTCTTGTGTCATATGATATTAAACATGTGTAGGCAAAGCTGTCAGTGCGAGAGGAGAGCTTTTATGGTCTTGTGATTAAGCGACTGACTAGAAATCTGTAACAACATCATTTTTGAAGACAGGAGTTCGAATCCGGATTTCTCAATTATTGCATGCCAGCTGATTTAAAAACAGTTCCGATAACCTTTCAAGTTGTGCACAGTTTGTTTCTTTTGTTCGAATGCAAGCAATAGAAGTCCTTTAAATCACAAATTGTAAATCACTTCCACATTCATTTAGTATGTAAAAAGTTTTATGCTTTATGCTGCATTTCCATTCGCATTTTGCACTTCATTATTATGAAAATGTATTAATTATTTTCCAGTCACATCCATGACTATAATGATGCTACATCATGTATTTCGTCCTCGTCTCTAGATAATTATTTCATGTTTCGTCCATGTCATCAGAAAAGTAGTATTTGGATGATGAAATTGCGAGAGAGAATGTGAGATGTTGGCACTTTTTTTATGTCATGTACAACATTATACTGACAAATATCATTATGTGCCTTTAATTGAGATACGGTACTCAGGTAGTTTTAGGAAAGGATGACAAAAATTAAATCTTGAATTTTGTTTTAATAACTTTTTATGAATAGTGTAATGTGACGTAATTGAAACAGTTTATTTAGGACATGATATAACAGCACAGACACATTGGCATTTTTGAAGAGTTGGCTATAGACCAGGACTGTTTTATTTTCCTAACTTGAAGATTTTTATGACTTTTTCATAAAAGACCAAAATTTTAATACGTTCCTTGATTACTTGGCAACAGTCTCTCTTACATTAGCAGATTTGTCTGTATATTGCTCGATATTCTACTCTCCAACGCACAGGAACATTCAAACCCATTCCTTACAATTTATGCTTCTTCCTTCTTTATTCAGAATAATGCGCCATTTAACACATCCACTTGATATTGTGGAATAGACCAGCATTCTAGCTCTTATACACACGTGCTTCTAATTGTTTTACCCAAAAATTAATTTAATTTTAACATGACCTCAAAGCAGATACCTTTTTTAACTTAATTCAATTTTATGTGACATTTTAATTTTCCTTTATAGTTCCGGAAAGTCTTACTAATTGAAATATAATAGAACAGGAATGTGGCAGAATCACGTACTCATCACTATTATTCTATTAAGGCTGATTGATTGGTTAGCAAATTCAATTTTCAAGTCTGACTGCAATCGAATTAAATTTTCTGACTTGATGCTCCTTTCGAGATGTAATGAAAAGTCTTTTATTGATCGAATGATGAAGGAAATGGAAGGGGAGGCAGAGAAACTAGAATTCAATTAATTTAACATTTTTGCTGGATGACAAAAGCGGAAATAGTTGGAAAATTTTCATAAAAGTGCTTCAAAAATAAAATTTAAAGTGGAAATGAAGCTACCGTTGTGGCTTCCCGTAAAAAAGTTTTGAATAATTTTTTTACAACAAACCGGAACTGTGGAATGAACAAGTTTCAAATAGCAACAAAACATAACATTTTTCTCTGTTTTTGTCAATTTTTCAGTATATGCCAAAATACTGACTCCATTTCCCCCGGTTTTTTTTGAGGCTTACAACAATAAATTGCATTCATAATCCATTAAAGTTTGTTCAAAAAAATTTTTTTAATGTGGCATGGCTGCATCAGATGCTTAACCATAAACAAAATGAATAATGTAATAATTAACATCATAAATTTAAGGCACCCGAGCAGCATACGGTCATACTTCCCTAAATTGATATTGATTTTTTTTACTCTACATTGAGGTTATGCAGCAAAGATTCAGCATCAAACTAATTTTAAGAAATGTGTCTCATGTGTTGTGTCTTAAGCACAAGAGCCTGTTTATCCATTAACTTTTATAAAGGAATAAAAATTTAAAATTCATAAATTTTTCACGCGGGTTAATCACGCTCTAGTTAGCAGCAACTCAACAATTTGTACATTTTCGCATGCTCAGCTCCAGTCACAAATGTTTCTTTGGGCTATTTTGAGACAGTAAATGCCCTTTTTATTTACAAAATAATGCCTTCCAATTTTATGTGTTTCTTTCTTCTTTGAATGAGAAATTCTTTATCTGTACCAAAGGTCATTTTACAGTTGTTTATCATCAGCCAAAAAGAAGAAAGGGATAAAAAAGCAGCTTAAAGTGCTGTTTAAATATCTTTGTATCATTTATCTCAATGAATTAAATAATAGCTTAAGGAAAAAAGGGGTTAAAACTAGTGGAAAAAAAAACATTGTGGGTAGATGATGGATGGATGATAACTTGAGGCCGATAATTCAGTGGATTTGTTTTGTTTTTAAAGCATGACATCAAATTTAAAGTTTCTTTTACTGATTTTGTTGAGGGAGATCTAAATATTCTTGTGGTTTATTTGTTTTCCAAACAAACCACAGCTATGAAGACTCATAAGAGTTATCTATTTCCATTAAAGATTAATTATTCTGCGTTAAGTTTTTATGAACAGGATATTACATTAATAACAATCATTCGAAATTCAAATTGTTTTAAAAAAATTGGTCCCCTCAGAACAATATTCAAATTTTAACCGTTAAAAAAAGCAAAAGAGTCTACAAATTGCCTCGCAAATTCCACAGGCACATCAAAGAGCACAGACAAAACGATAACAAAGGAAGATAACACTTCAACGTTAAAAACTTCTCCCTAAGCGATTTTTTCGTACGATCAAAGGCATCCAAAGAGGAAACAATAAAAAATTGATTAATTACTTTCATGATTGTAATGAATAGAGGCGCTCAGCCACGACTTATACATTATCATAATATCATTACGGTGTAGAGCTATTTATTCAATTGTGTGAAACAAAAAAAAAGTTTTATCCTTAATTGCTTTACCGTTAATAAATCAAGGCCGGAAACACTAGAGCTGTTGTTGATGTCTATTCGAAAATTTATTAAATCTTTCATTCCATTTGATTCTGTCTAATTTTTATAAGGCAAACGATGAAGATTTCTAACAATGAGAAATTAATAGTTCATCGACAACAGCTTTTTGCATCAAGGATAAGGATGTGAGAGTTTTGAGCATCAATATTTAATTGTTAGCTTTATTTCATTATAAATAAATTACCCAAAATTCTCAGGAATAAATTACACTCGAGTTGAATTTTCATTAAGCACATCTGCACGTTGGACGTTAAATAGACAGTAAATTAATGCGATTCTCATTATGAATGCACAAAGTTTACTAACAGGAAAGTGTGTGTGAGAGATAAATTTGTGGAAGAATTAATTAACCTTGTTTTCCTTGGGTGCTTTAACTTCCTCTTTCATGTGAAGCAAGTCGAAACGATGAAGAAGAAGATAGATACAAATGGACTAACTTGTTTATAAGACATGAATATTTATTTTCTATTACTCTCCGCCTACACATTTACATGCCTTTTCATTCGTACAATTTAATACCGGAAATTTCCGTGAAAATGCAAAATAACATGATATTCTTAGATCCATAGATTTCATCAACTTAATTCAGTTTTATTTATGGTTAACAAAGAAGAATTGCTGTGAACATGAATAGGTTTATAATCCCTCAACAAGTCTTTCATTATTTGATCAATACTTTTCTCTTATTTTAATTTCTAAAGCATTACAGAAGCAATAACATGAGAACTAGACTTAGTAGAAACTTTTATTTAATCTTACTTCATGCTCGGGTTGGTTTCATGCTTAATTAAGACATTACACAAAAGATAACAAGAACTTGAAGTAATAGATAAGAGCTTTCGACACTTTTGTAGGTTGGAATTAGTTCATAAATACTAGGAATGTGTAGCTGGATCTTTTATGTCATAATGTAAGAAAGCTCAAGTGACTGTATAGTTAAGGACTTTGAAATTATTCTCATTTATAGTAATTTTGACACAGCTTTCGTGGGTTTGAGGCTGTAGAATGGAATCTTGATGCTAAATTCGTAGTTCAAGACCGATCCGATCCAGCAATCATTTACATAAACAGAACTTACTGCATTTACAACATTTTAAGTC